CTAAAGAGTGACCCTTAGTTCGCCCATCGGCGATCTAAGCCGGGCCCGGCTTAGATCGCCGATGGGCGATCTAGAGAGTGTTTCTTAGATCGCCCATCGGCGATCTAAGCTGGGTCCGGCTTAGATCGCCGATGGGCGATCTAAAGAGTGACCCTTAGTTTGCCCATCGGCGATCTAAGCCGGGCCCGGCTTAGATCGCCGATGGGCGATCTAGAGAGTGTTTCTTAGATCGCCCATCGGCGATCTAATCCGGGTCCGGCTTAGATCGCCGATGGGCGAACTAGTTGCGACTAGTTCGCGTTTTACGGCTTTTTCGGTTTTTTGCGGTTTTGTAAAACGATTCTCGAGTTTTATAAAATGATTCTCGAGTTTTATAAAACGATTCTCGAGTTTTATAAAACGGTTCTCGAGTTTTATAAAACGATTCTCGAGTTTTATAAAACGATTCTCGAGTTTTATAAAACGATTCTCGAGTTTTATAAAACGATTCTCGAGTTTTATAAAATGATTCTCGAGTTTTATAAAACGATTCTCGAGTCTTATAAAACGATTCTCGAGTTTTATAAAACCATTCTCGAGCTTTATAAAATGATTTCTCGAGTTTTATAAAACGATTCTCGAGCCTTATAAAACGATTTCTCGAGTTTTATAAAAACGATCTTCGAGTTTTATAAAACGATTCTCGAGTTTAAAACGTTTTCTCGAGTTTTATAAAGCGATTTCTAGAGTTTTATAAAGCGATTTCTCGAGTCTTATAAAACGATTCTTGAGTTTTATAAAACGATTCTCGAGTTTTATAAAACGATTCTTGAGTTTTATAAAACGATTTTCGAGCTTTATAAAACGATTTCTCGAGTTTTATAAAACGATTCTCGAGTTTTATAAAACGATTCTCGAGTTTTATAAAACGATTCTAGAGTTTTATAAAACGATTCTCGAGCTTTATAAAACGATTTCTCGAGTTTTATAAAATGATTCTCGAGCTTTATAAAACGATTTCTCGAGTTTTATAAAACGATTCTCGAGCTTTATAAAACGATTTCTCGAGTTTTATAAAACGATTCTCGAGCTTTATAAAACGATTTCTAGAGTTTTATAAAACGATTCTCGAGCTTTATAAAACGATTTGTCGAGCTTCATAAAACGATTTCTCGAGTTTTATAAAACGATTTTTCCAGTTTTATAAAACGATTCTCGAGCTTTATAAAACTGTTCTTTTTGTATTCTTGCGGAAAGTTTTGGCTATTAATTCCGTCGTACCGATTTTCACCCCAACACCTACCTTATCCATGATAAGTTTGAACTTTTTCATGAAGTCGCATAGAGGTTCGTCTTCCTTCTGGGATAGGCTCCAAAGGTCGGCGTCGGAATTCTCTTGGTTTAAAACATCGAGCACTGTTTTAAGAATTCTGTGGCAAGCTGGCGGAAACTCCCGATCAAATTTTGCTTAAATTATGAGAACAATTCGATCGCTGTTCCTTCTAGGTTTTCGATGAAGAGACGGCAGTAGCCTGCGTTCTTTTTGCTTTCCTTGAGTTTGGCTCTACCCATGGTGATCTGGAAGGCCTGTAGGTGCGCTTTGGGATCGGTTGTCCCATCGTAAGTCAGCAATTTGAGCATTCCGGGATCGGGCTGCTTAATCTCGGTGATACGAGCCATAAAAGGCGTTTTCCGAGATTCGTACATAAGTCGATCGATTTTGGGCACAGCACTAGTGGCATGCCGAATTCGCGATTCCACTGCTTTTACCGCTGCGGCCGTTTTAGTGATATAATCACGGAGATTGCGAATCTCAATTGGGTCCCCAGCAGTTTTCCGACCCCGTCGGCGTTTGCTGCGAGTAACTTGAGATTGTTCCTCGGCCGTCTTCGCATGCTCCATGCAATAGAGCTCCTCCTCGTCCTTGGTGAGAGAGTGTTCGAGAGAGGAATCGGGCTGAGGACTGCGATCTTTCCTCCTCCTCAGATGAACGTCAGCGTCTTCATCCGATGGATCAGATTGGTCGCTGGTTTTCAGATTCACCCTTTCGACACCGTTGTCCTCGATCTTCTGTTCGCGAGAAGGAGATTTTTCCGAGTCTTATTGTGTCACGACAGGGTTATCTTTCTCGGTGGTTTCCCCCCGGTTGATTACCCTACTCGTTTCTGGGGTGATCCATATGAGTTCGACCTGTTTCACGAGAGATCCGATTAGCTTATCCTGTTCATCTGTCCTTTTTCGATAGGTGGAGAGTGCCTCCTGCAGCGTCGTAGTGTTGGCCGTAGCATTAACTGTAGTGACGTGTTCCGCTGGAGTTTGAGTTTGGTCGTTCACGTTGACATCAGTTGGTTGTTCTTTTATCAACGTGATTTGACTGAGCGTGATGTGTTCTGAGAGTTAGATAGATCTGTAACCCCTCCTCCTTCTAGCGCCAAACCGTGGGAACCAAAACTCACACCATCGATTTCCGTAAATAAAGGAATTTAGGGAAAACCCTAATTTCCCAGAGGTCCCGGATATCTGCTAAACCACACGCCAAGCAATCAGAAAACGAGAAAAATATTAAGAACAATAAAAATCGAGAAGTGAAGGGAAAAAAGGTTTCTTATTCTGAATCTGTGTAAGAGCGGTACAACGAGATAAAGCCTTGGCTACAAGAGTTGACGGCGAGTTCCCTAGTTCTAGAAACCTAAGACTAAAACCCTAGTTGAGACGCAGCTCGATAACAAAAACAGAAAATTGATGACTAAGTTTATGTGTGAAGAGAGTTGTCAATGTGTCTTGCTTATGTGCTCGACCTTCTGCTTATACAGTCCTTCTCTAGGTGGTTTTATCTTTCCTTTTCCGCCTTGATACGTGCTTATCGGAAATCTTCCATTTATCTCGATCTTCCCATTTTTCTGGGGAAACTTCTATTTTTCTTCAATCTAGACATTTACATTTTCCTGCGAATAATAGGGAAACCGTCATTGTATCTTTGGGCTGGATCCTATCTAAAGTCGCGAGTGGGCTTTTATCGCGTTTTAGGATCTTTCGAGCCGTTTTATGACTTAGCCATTTTACGAATTTTTGACAAGATCGTTTCCTGATACGACAACGTTTTTAAGTAAACATCTCGAGTTAATCGTATGATTTGGCAATGTTCGATGTTTCGTTTAACCGTTGCCGTTTTATACGATTTACTCGAGGTTTCACTAAAAACGCGTATTTTATGATTTTCTATAAAAATTCTCGAGTTAATCGTATAGTTTGGCAATATTTGGCGTTTCGTTTAACCATTGCCGTTTTGTACGATTTACTCGAGGTTTTACTAAAAACGCGTGTTTTACGATTTTCTATAAAAGATCTCGAGTTAATCGTATAGTTTGGCAATGCTCGGTGTTTCGTTTAACCGTTGCCATTTTATAAGATTTACTTGAGGTTTTACTAACAACGTGTGTTTTACGATTTTATATAAAAGATCTCGAGTTAATCGTATAGCTTGGCTTTTCAAGCTCGGTGATTCGTTTAACCGTTGCCGTTTTATACAATTTACTCGAGGTTTTACTAAAAGTGCGTCTTTACGGTTTTTAACGTAAAACTCAAATGGTAAGGCGGATTGAGATGAAATGGAGGACATTCTGATCACGCTTCGGAGTACGATAGAGTCGAGGAACTGAGATGGTTAAATTCAGCTCGCCTATTAGTGAGCTGGACAGATGTGCTCAGCTCGCCAATGGGCGAGCTGGACAGATGTGCTCAGCTCGCTAATGGGCGAGCTGGATAAGTGCGTGCAGCTCACCCATGGGCGAGCTGGTCACATGTGTCGGCAGCTCGCCCATGGGCGAGCTGGACTTGATGAGTGAAGCTCGCCCATGGGCGAGATGGTTACATGTGTCGCCAGATTTCCCAAGGGTGAGCTGGACTGATGTGTTCAGCTCACCCACGGGAGAGCTGGTTACATGTTTGTCCTAGCTTGCTCGTTGGCGAGCTGGACGGTTGCTCGGTTTTGGTCTTTTCTTGTTTTCTTGACCCGAGACCTCTGAGGATGTAAGGAGACATGTCCGTAGGCGTTGACTCCGATTTTTAACAATAGTTTTAACATATCGGGTAGTTTGGGTGTTACGGCCATTTTTGTTAACTTGGCCAATAAAACAATCGCGGGCTGTTTTATTTGATTTCCCGACGATTTACAAGATGACGATTTTCGAGTTTTTAGGAGTTGCTTTGTTCGGAGAATCCTTAGATTTTTTCTTGACACTTTTTCGTGTTTAAATATTTACTTTTAAGATCTGCGGGAAGTTTTGGTCATTGATTCCATCGTAACCGATTTTGACCCCAACATCGTCTCTCTGGCATGACACTAAAGAAAAACGCTAAGAAATTAGGCTTTCATTTCAAATCGGCGAAAAAGAAATGAATTTGTTAAATCGTGAAGGGGGGGGGGGGTTATTGGCCAAAATTGAGAGAGAGAATTAATCGATTTTGGGGGTTATTAACCTCTCTCTCTCGATTTTTGTTAATAACCCCACACAATTTTACCAACTCCGTTTCTTTCTTACTGATTTGAATCAAAACACTAATATTTTTCCCTTTGTCGCGATGAGTTGAGTTTTAATTAAATTATGGTCAGGTACGACGGATTTTAACTGATCAAACATTAGAATAAAAGGAGTTATGTTTCTAACATCCATGTCTCTTTTTAGATTAATGAAATTTAACTTGTTATGTTAACTACATAACATCATTAAGTTGAGAGATGTTGCCATGCGTATACTTCATGTATGTAGGTATATATTTGTTTAGTCTGCATGGTTAGCCATGTGATGGTCAATATTTCAAGTAGCCACCAATCATTTTTCCAAATAAAGAAAAAATATATCACTATGAACAATTGAAATTGCACAAGCATTGCACATCGGAGAAGAATGAGAATGTGTGGTTCACCGAGTTCAAGTTAATGCCTTCATCAATTACTTTGTCTGAGCAAAGATTCTCCTCCTAGAATCCACAGAGCAAGCTCAAGCCAAAGAGATATAACGATGACATACACGAGTATGCCCATTAGATAGTTTAAATCTCTCAGTTTTGTAGCTCCGATTGTGGCGTACAAGCAAGGGAATAAGAGTGATCCTTCAAGTAGTGTAGTTACGTAGATTTTATAGCTGAACAATAACAATGATTACTTAAATATGACTTAGAGGAGAAAAATTGCATCGTAATAGACAATCCTAACTAGGGATGTTAATTAGGGCTTGTTCGACCTGTTTATGTCTGACCCGTTAACGTCTGAACCGTTTATTACATGTCCGTTAAAAGCCCATTTACATTAAAAGACCGTTTACTATATACTCGCTAAAAGCATGTTTACTCTATGTCCGCTAAAAATGGTTTAAGGCCCATTTAACTTTAAAAAAATACAACATGTATGCTGTTTTATGAATAAAAGCCAACCTATAATGAAAATGCATCAGAAAGAATCAACCTGTTTTTTAAATAACACGTTTTCATGAGCATATATTACTAAAAATTAGTAACAATAATCATCAAATGGTTTTAGAAAGAGAGCTAAAACATAACTAGAATATAACGTCCATAAATATAAATATGCTCTCATCAATCTTGCACAATGCCTTGAGAATATCCATGTAGATAATTAAAACATAATAATTATCATATATTTTCATCAAACAAAACATAACCAATACACATACAAACATACCATTGTTCCATACTTCCATAAAAGTTAGAACTTGTTTTTGTTTTTTTTTTTTCAGTTTTCTGTTTGTTAGATTTGGGTGATTGATGAATCTTTACCACATGATCTGAATTTTCAGACAACGGCGAGGGACACCGGCCTGTTTGATCATTTGATAAACCTCTGGTAATTTAAACCAGGACCCATTCCAGGAACCTGCGATCTTTCTATCCTTGTCGATTTCAAATTCAACTCACCTCTCTATCGCCAGGTAAAATAACTACTTCTAATTAAGCCTCTGCACTTCTTGTGGGTGTCATGTAATCGACGTGTTGCTTAAAAAAAAAAAATCGACAAGATTTAGACTTGGAAGTTGTTAACAAATAGCTAAATATTGAACTTGATAATTGTTATAGCAAGAAAAGAATATAAAAAAAGTGTCTCTCTTGATTCTTTTCTTTACTACTCAGAAGGTGAATCTTGATTATAGTACATCCTTGAGAGTAGTTTGAAAGAGTGTCTCTCTCTTTTTGTGTTTCATTGAAGGTGGCTTCGATGTTCTTAAAAGAGGTAGCAACAAGACTCATGGGGGCATTTAGTGACCGATGCCGATTAGTGTATGGTCCAGGAGTTCCAGTGGATGAAAACGCATTTGAGCAAAGAGCTTGATAGACACCACATATATATAATAGAAGTAAGAACATGAGATTAGCTTTCGCTTGTTTGGTAGAGAGCGATTACGTTATAGCTTGTTTCATTTTCTGTTTTCAATGTATGAATTTTTTTTTACATAGGAAGATCAAACACATTAGATGTTTGTTTAATTTAAAAGCTGAAAAAAAGTACATCCAATATGTGTGTTCAAAAAAAAAAAGTACATCAAATATTACTCTTCTGTTGGGAGTTTTTTCTGTCCATTCAAACAACTCTTCTCTTAGTGTAGATATTGATGATGACGCCACGAATGCTGACGTATACATAACTTGTTGGATCTTTCAAAAGCTTAAAAGAATAGTGGGAATTCAATTAGATGCAACAAGTCTTAGACGGTTTTGAATTTGAACAGTATATAAAAGAAAAGTCGTAAATTTGCTTAAGTCCAGTAAAAATCTAGTCAAAAGTGCTTTAAACATTGAATTTAAATATAGAACTGTTTTGTTAGTCCGGTCTCTGAACCAACGTCACATTCGATTTTATGGATGTACTCCTCCGTATCCAATCCGAATTTTTGAAGGTATTTATGATTTATTTCCTATGTTAGCAATATCTATTTTTTTATCTGTTTTACTTCGAAAAAATACGGATATCCAAAAAATAACTAGATATTTACGAATACTTACAAATATTTCATTCGTTTTAATTAATACAAATAATTTTAAAATTTTAATACAAATTTATTTTGTAAATATTTTTTGTATAAGATATAAAATAACAATTAAAAGAAGTAGTGAATCTACATAATTTTAAATTGTTTAAACTTAGTTAACAATTATAATAGCATAAAGCTGAAGAAAAAAGTAATTTTCATAATTTTTTCTCTTCTTTTTTTTATGTAATACTTTTATATAAGTAATAATGTAAATATAATTTGTGAAATCATATGTTAAAATAATAATTATATAATTTTATACATTAAAATCTAAAATATAATCAAGATATACATGTATTTATATAATACCGGATCGAAGCGGACATCCACTTCTCAAAATATTCATATTTGTAATTTGTTTCGATTTTAACGGATATTTATTTTTATTATTTGCTTTTCTTCGTAAGTTTATGGATATCCAGAATTTTCGGATCGAATCGAAACGAATAACAAATCGAATCAAATTTAACGGATAAAATGCCCAGCCTTACTTCCCATACTCCATCCGGTTTAAATACATCATACTCCATCCGGTTAATATTAGCCCTTTTCATTCTCAAAATTTTATATCTAAAAGAAATGTATTCTCAATGCAGAATTCTAAACTAAAAGTTTATATCTCAATTAGTTTAACTAATGAGCTCTACCTAAAATGAAAATCGAAATGATTGAATTAGTGAAATGTAAATTTTCTTAGGCTATGTAAGAAATTAGGTGATGGAGAATAGTTTGTTTATTATAGAATCAATTTCAATATAGAAGGAGTCAATATTATACATTTTGTTAGAAGGTGAAAAAAAAGAATAAGAGAACATATGAGCACCATCCTTGCCAATATGAGAAATTATTGTAAAGATATTTCGTGGTTTACTATGTACTAGCGCATTTTTAATACACGAAGTTTTATAAATACTAGAGACTTTTCCCGGGCTACGCCCGGGTTTTTTGTATATTTTAAATAAAGTTTGATGTATTTATATGTTTGAGTATTTAAATGTACTATAATTCTCTATATATTAATCCTGAAGTATTACAACATTTTTTGGTATCCACATGTCATATATGAAAATTATTCTCAGAATTGTTAAAAAAAAAGGTTGGTTCATCTACTCATATATTACGTTTTTTTAAAAATTAACTATTAAATTAATTAATAGAGTACAAAAGAATATTTTATATTCTTTCCTTACACAAAAACTACGAAATTACCTATTATGATTAACATATATCTCATAATTAATGATTATAAATAATAAATATTTAATAGCATTTTATCCTCTAATTATAAAAAATAAAAAATCACATTAAATAAAAATTATAATTTTTCTTATATGTTATATTTCAAATTTTTGAAAATGACTATAAATTATTAAAAATAGTTAAAAATCTCACATTTAAAAATTTATGACTAATGGTAACCTTTTTTTTTAGTTCAGCTCATTGTCCTTTTAATGGGTCTTGAACAGTAATGATTAACTAAATAGACCACATACAGAAAAGAGAATGTTTTGGTTTAAAAATTATTGCATACTCAAAATAAATATGAACCATCATCTGTTTCATTTAAAATTACGTTACAATAAAAAGTATAAGGTTGCGTAAAAATCCAAATCCAAATAACTGAACCAAATCCAATCCGAAGACTGGTATCTAAAGAACCAAAAACTAAACCCGATCTGAACCGAAATATTTTGGGTATCTGAGTTTATTTGAACCAAATTTATATATTTAAATATATTAATTATTTTCAATTTTAATATCTAAAAGAATATACAATATACATAAATTGTCCATAATACTTTAAAATATAAAAAATAGTGAAAACTATATGTTTAAAATAGATAAACGTTACTCAAAATACCAAAGATACTGAAAATATCGCTTGGTTTTCTATACATAAATTGAAGGTAAACCAATTTTTATGTCAAGTCTAAATATTTTAACATACATTATTCAAATTTATATGCTATACATTATTTTTATTTTTAGTTTTTTAGAAATTCAAAGTATATATGAACTTTAGTTTAAAAATAAAAATAAATGACTTATCTGAACCTAAACCTAAACCGAAAATGCAAAATTTTAATTAAACCCGCAAAGATCCGAACAGTACTTAACCGAACCAAATGATACTTGGATGCTATTCCTAATCAATTGTAAAAAGAAAGTTATTGATAACAAAATATGAATTGGTTATAATATTTAAATACAACATTATCAAAAAAACAAAATTATTCTGCACATGTTTATCATCTAGTAATTTATTTTTTCATTTGCCTAAAACTATAGTATGAAGGCTACAGAACATAAAATGGACTGTCGGGGAGAGGTAGACGGGGTTTTGTTTCCTGTGTTACGTTTTCTTTATCAAAAATGTTCTAATTTTTATAATTTACAAATAGTTCACTAATAAACAATTAATATAAATAATGTTTAGTTTTTGAATTGTATCTGTTGAATTGATTATTAAGTAACTGGAAATTGTTTTTAGTTACATTGAAGTGATAAAATTTTGATTAAGTTTTTTAAAATAATACTTTATTTTCTTTCAATTTAATTTTTGCAACAGAAAGAAGGCAACTATGTTTGAATATGATAGAACCTCTTCAGCATCGAGAACTAAAGCGACAATGTGTGCACGCATCAGACTCTTTCTTGACTGCATGATACTTAAAGACGCTGGTCCTTTGTCTCGTTTAGTTCTCTCTTGCCAACCATCAGTGTCAACCTTAACAAACATCCAACATAAACATCAAATGAAGTGAATTAGTGAGGCATGTCCAGCTAATGAGAATCTGTAAACGTACCATATAGACGGTCCTGCCCTGAAACTCGAACTGAACTCTCACAGCATCTCTAGTGATACCAGCTTCTGGACCCACCAACACACGCTCTTCTTTCAACAATGCATTTAACAATGTTGATTTCCCAACGTTAGGCCTACCAACAATAGCTAATTGCAACGACAACTTGGAATCGTCTTCTTCACAGAGGTTCTCATCACTTGGAACATCATCTTGAGTACATCTATCTGAATATACAACTATGAGGTTCATCAGTAAAGAGAGAAAACAAAGAAGCAGCTTCTTCTAGTCAAGTGATTCTTTACACAGTTTTATCACCGTTTAAGGTTTGGACCATGTAATCCTCTAGAGTGATGCAGGTTGGATCTGAGGTTTTCTCATCGGATGTCACGCTTCCTCCTGCCAAAGACAATCTAAACCAAGAGAGGTTGCTCAAATTCAGTAAACTATCCCGAAGATACTCAAAATTATCTGCAGCAAACAAATATGATATTACTCTGCGTATGGTTTATCAAGACAGTTGGTGATGGTTCTAAAGTTGTGTACCTTTTTTAGGCCATTCTTCAAGAAACACGTTGTCCTTGTGGTGACCAAACTCATGAATAATTTAGTACACAGACTTTTGATTGTCTCTAGTGTCTACACGAAACAAAGGTAAGCATACATAAGCCATGAAATGGAAGAAAAAAAAAGATCTTTCAAATTGAGCTAACATGTTGGAAACATAAGTGGGCGCTGAGTGATCATGTCTGCAGTCAAAGTCAGAGAAAGAATCTGAAAACATCAGCATAGTGTTTGAAACATTAAAAAAAAAAATTTATAGTGCATAAGGATTATCTATGTTAACCTTAAGAGATGTATCAAGATAGCCACGGACACGGTCATTTGATAGTCTCTAGTGAACCAAAAAACAAAAGTAAGCATATATAAACAATAGAAGGAGAAAAAAGTTCAGATGTTTCAAAATAAAGCTAACCTGGTGTTGCATAGCCTTAAAGCGCAAGAGCCTCAGAAGCAACTTCAGTAAGAGATTCACCAGTAGACTCCGATTGGTTCATCACTACTATAGGCTTAATTTGTGGTGCATGCTTTCTCAGCCATTTACCAACTTCCAAACCCAACGGATAAGTTGATTGGTTTTCATAATTTTCTCTGAAAATGTAATTTTTCGTACCAATCAAATAAGTTGATTGGTTTTACCTGAGCTTTTATGTACGGGAAGACATTGCAGAACCTTAAGGTTTCATCTCTGCTCTGTTTACATTCGTTTTCCCCATCAGGTGATACCGCAAGGGACATAAATCGGTATGTGTGGCATGTCAGAATTGCAATCTAAACCACTAAAAAAAGAGGCAGGTTCAGTCAACCACATATACTTAATGAAGCAGAGTACTATACAGAGCCAAAGGTCGGAGAGTTTCTTACTTTGGAGATGGTTAAGTATTTCCAGTATATTATAAGTTGATATATGCCCTCCATAGTCAATTACTGAATTTAAACAGCAGTTATTACCTCTGCAAACAAACGACAGCCTCAACCATGTTAGATTTTAGCATCTCAATGGCTATGGTTGTAACAATTCCAGTCCACTGTGCTCTTGCAACTCAAGGTAGAACGAAAATCACAAAAAAAAAAAGTATTTGAGCTTATTATGAGACATAAAAATGTCCTAAGAATCAGAGTACCTTCAACAGGCTTCAGCTTACGAGCATAGAGCTGCTCTTGATGGACCCCAAAGTATGTATCTTCTAAGGAATCTGGTTTCCTTCCTCTACCAGGAACAACAGGTTCCAAGCTCTGCACAAAAACCTCATTAATAAAACAAAACCCATCAATTAAAAATGTAACGCATCTTGTCCATCTCAAGGACATTACCTCAATCCTTGACATTCCATCTCCAAGAAAAGCACATGCATCCTTCACATGGGCTATATAGTTGGTGTCACATTGCCCGCATCCTCTGCAGAGCCAATAATTCTGATAAGACCTAGGCAAAAGATAGGGAGTTAAAACAAAACGACAGAACCTGCAATGATCTTTGGCTGGATAAGTGCCTCCTGGTGGTATAGGTTTGGACTTCTCCCTCCAGTTTTCTCGTAGTTTCAGTTTCTTTTTTTTGGCTCTATATTCACATCTGCAGTAAGAAGAAAAAACAATGAACAAAGAAAACTTCATGCAGGTCTCAGAAGAATTTAAACCACAACGGATATAAGAAATTAAGACAATGATCGATGCTTTGCGTGTATCTAAAACCAAAACAGACATAAACGTGCTAATCTAACACACAATTCTTTCTCCAAACTCAGATGGTATCCGCAATCAAAAAAAAAAGTTGAAGAATCGACGACATGTGTGAGCAGAGGCAAAACAGAGAGAGAGATTATTGAGGCATCGATGAAACATAAATCAGTATGATCACACAACCCTGTCGTCGAGTAGTTTCAATAAGCGAAAAGGAGTTCATCTTAAAGAAGCTCCAGGCCAATTAAGAAGGCACCTTTCACTGTGTCTCAGACTTGTCCTAAACCAGGAGACTTTTAGAAGACAACATAAGAAACAAATGGAGCTGAATCAAGGCCCTAGGAAGCATCTAAACTTGTTATGTTTGTTTCTAATGCAATAATAATCAAAGGCACACAAAATAACCCAAACTCAATTTGTAAAGGTCTAAACTTTCTCAAAGTAAAACTCTTCTTTGTGTGTTTGCTCTATCATACAAAATCCAAGGAGAACACATCGTTATACAAATAACAATTACAAACAGACAAAAATTAAATGTGAAACAGAGAGTGTACACTTGACATTGTTCAAATTTGCATTCAACTGCAACTGTCCAAAGACCCATCTCGAACCAATTAAAGAGAGAAGTTAAACTGCTTGTCTTAATTCAAACAAAAACCAAAACCTTATCCCTAAAGCAGAAATCTGAATATCAAGGAACACGGAAATCTAATAATCCTTAGATTCAGGAACACATAAACATCTACAGTATAGATTCGTCAAAAATTCTGGAAACGAATCAATTACATACAAACTTTTCTGGAAACAGAATAAACCTAAAAAAAATTGGATATCGACCAACCAAATCTGAGAGATGAAGAGTTAGAGATGTCGGAATATACCTGTTCGTCGATGAGGAGCATCTCGACACCAAGAAGTATCTTTGATTTTGAGTTTCGAGCCTCCCAAAAATGGATAAGACAAAACCTTACCTCGCCTTCCTGTGGGCCAAACTCGACATCTCTGAATAACACCACTGCATCGGCTTTTGGGGATGTGTCGGAGTGGAGAACCGCCTTACCATTTCGTTTCTTCGGCATGAGATCAACGGAGACAGCTTCGGTGGAGGAGGCATAGGGTTTGCCGATAAGTTTGGTCGGTGGAGATTTTCCATCGGATTTCATCGCCATTTCGTTTTCTTGAGAGTGTTGAGAGGATTTTTCTGGATTGTGATTTTGATTGAACCAAAGAACTGATTAAGAGATTTATATGAAATAGACTGAGAGGGAGTTGAAACGAAAGCCATTGATGAGAGTAAATTAAAGAGGAGTAAAGAGGAGAGGAGGTTCAATTGTGGTAGAGATTGTGCTATCTTGAAACGGAGAAGAAGAGCTGAGGAAAAGAAATCGTCGGCTTTTGGGGGCTGAATTGAAATTAACTTTTCGATCTGTGAAGCAGTGGTGATGTGGAGGTGACGTGGATACTTTATCTACTCTGATTGGTCGATTAAATTCGCATATGTGGTCAGGCTAATTTGGCTTCATTTGCCCCTTTTATTTAAAGTAGATCCACACAGATTAAAAAAAATATTTTTTATATTTTTTAAATAAAAAATATTATCAATTATCTATCCAGCTATAATTTAATCAATAATAAAATGTAATGTATAATATCATGGTCGTAACAGTAACTGTTAATATTTTATTAAATTATACTTAAAAATCTAAAACGTTATAAAATTGGAACAATTTGTGAAATAACCAAAAAAAAACTCAAAATCAGTTTTTAGAAAGAAATTAGAGAGAGATAGGAACAAGAAAGAGAAGAGAGGATGGAATTTTGGCTATTTTGCAAATGTGCAATTCTCTATAATAGGCTCTTTTGAGTTGTTATCTCAACTAGCATATGAAGCTGAAAGTCCCAAAACTAGCATTCATTAATAGATTAAAAGACTACACTACCCTCAAACATGTTAATAGAAACAAAAAGAATCCGTCATTCTCGACGAACTCAACGGCGACGACGAATACTCAGAGATCGATCATAACGTCGTCTCTGTTGAAGACGCCAGAGACAGTATCACGACGAACCTCCACTGTTTCACTCTTAGCAGTCAAAAATCGAAACTGATAGATGTAAGTTTCAGATGTTTCAAATTGAAATTAAGCATTTTGGTTGAAAAATGAAATTAGGGATTTTGGTTGAAAATTTGGGATTTTGTTTAAGGAAAATCAAATTTGGTACAAACGACATCCAGCTCATCGTATGCAAGCAGCTAGCTCCTGACGTAACTATTGCTTTTTAATCACTTTAACATACGATTCGCATGTGTATAGTTCAAGTAGTTGTGGCAAAATTTGGTAGTGATGTTTTTGTTTAACAGTATGAGAAGACTGTGGCGGAGCTGAGCAGACACGTCCTTCCCATGGTTCCTGACAAAATTGATGCAAGTGAAGAAACAAACAAAGAGTATGCAACACAGTTCGAAGTTCAGGGATTCCAAGTTATCAAAATCTTCAGAAACGGATGCAAAGCTGTTCAGGAATACAACGGACCTCGTGAAGCTGATGGTATTGTTACTTACTTGAAGAAACAAAGCGGGCCTACTTCTTTTGAGATCAAGTCGGTCATGATGCTGTTCAGGTTGTTTGTAATAAGAAGGTTTTTGTGGGAAGTGTCTCACAACAGCTATGTTCCCATGATTTGATCATCTGCATATGGTAGTAGTCAAGTAACGTCTTTTTTTCTTATTTTAGGTTGGAGTTTTCCATAAGTTATCTGGATCTGAGTTTGTATCTTTCTTGGCTACTGCTGAGAAACTGCGCTCTGACTATGATTTTGCACACACCTCTGATGCCAAGCTTCTTCCCCATGGAGAATCAAGCATTCCGCTTTTCACCATCTTTGACAAGAATCCTAATAACCATCCTTATGTTATCAAGTTCTTTGACATCCTTAATACTAAGGTAACTCATAGATCTTAACTCCATCATGATGTAACAAGTTCTTGATATTACTAAAAAGACAGACAGATTCATGTTATGCCTTTACTTTTGCTCGATAAGTATTTAAGTCATTTACTTTTAGTGTTTTTGGTCCTGTGTTTTTGTGGGATTGCAAAAGGTTTAGTGTTTCTCTATGAGGAATCTCCGTTGAAGTTTGTACAAAGAGATATCAAAGCCACTAATATTTTAATTTCAAGAAGGTGTTTCAAAGTTTCAGAATAGCTTTCCATAATTTTTTTTTAAAACTCAAAAGGTGTGTTTCAGTGTTTTAGGGAAGATTTCCAGAAAATCCAATGCTAAAATATCTGATTTTTTTTTTTTGGCTTGGTTACAAAGGAAAGCAACACGATCGGATAATTTGTAAAACACGTAAGTAGGTAGTCCAGTGTTTAGTCCAGTGTTTCTGAGTGTGAATTTGCTTTTGACATTGTTAGTTTCTTTGTTGTGCTTGTGAAACTGGGTGGCTTTATTAATTTCAGTTTCTTTAGTCCAGTGTTTAGTCCAGTGTTTCACGAAAGCTTTCCAAAAAATCCGATGCTAAAATATCTGATTTTTTTTTGGCTTGGTTACAGAGGACATCAACACGATAGGAGAATTTATAAAACAAGTAATTAGGTAGTCCCAGTGATTTCTGAGTGTGAATTTTCTTTTGACATGGTTTTCTTGTGCTTGTGAAACTGGGTGGTTTTGGTAATTTCAGTAAGGATTTGTGTAGTTTTAGGAAAGCTTTTCAGAAAACTGATATTAACAAATTTGAAAAACTTTTTGTTTTGTTTACTAAGAATATTGATATCTTTGGTAAGCTCATGAATTTGTTTTTACATTTCTAAACGATTGCTTGTGGTTGTGAAATTATATGGCTTTGTTAATTTCATGAAAGATTTGTGTAGTTCGAGGAAAGTTTTCCAGAAAACTCGAGGTTAATAAATTTGAAAAACTTTTTGCTTGGTTACTTCTTTGGCTTACGCATATTGATATTTTGGTACGATCATGAATTTTCTTATTACATTTTTAGACGATTGCTTGTGCCTCTAAAATTATATCTTTTTAGGAAAAAAGTTGTATAGTTTCAAGAAAGCTTCCCAGAAAATTTGAAGTTAAATTTTGAAATATTTTTACTTGGTAATTCAAATAAGTCGTGTTTTCTATGGTTTTCCGATGTTACAACTTTCGTACCAATTCGGTCGATCCGGAATGGATCGGTTAAACGCAGAGTAGTAAAACGATGGGAGTTTTATTACCTCTCAGACTAACATTGCCTGAGCTGAAGTATCAGATTGTTTCAGAGCCAAGACAAAACAGTTGGAGATTTATGTTGATTATTGAAAATTTTCAGATTTCTAAATGTAACAAGAAAGCATTGTACATATTCTGGATGAGTTTAGACATTGGAAAGCATTTGGTAATTTTTAGATGAGCTTCCATAAAACATATCTTAGTGTGTTTCTATCTAGTAACGTTTAAACTAAAATATGATATGAGATCAAAAACTAAAGATTTGATATCTGTGTGTTTAGTAAGTTTCAAATTGTGATGTAGAATTATGAGAAACGTTTTTTGGAAAGCATTGAACATGTTCAGGATGAGCTTCCAAAAACACATTTTCATTCAATTAAAAAACACATAAATGTCAGTTTAATGTCTTGTACGAGTAGTGGTTTAGCCGCTAAGCTGAGGAGAATCATCTGTTTGTATTAAACACATAAATTTATTTAAACTGATATTATATTTTTTAAAACTAGGAAAGCATTGAACATGTTCAGGATAGGCTTCCAAAACACATTTTTATTCAATTAAAAAAAAAGACGGGTTTAACCGTGTCAGTTTAAATTTTTGTAAGTGTAGTGGTTTAGTCGCTAGGCTGAGGAGTCATTTGTTTGAATTGTACAAATAAATGTATGAAATTATATATTATAAAATTTAGAAAGCATTAAGCATGTTGAGGATGGTGTTCCAAAAGAAACTGTAAATGTGGTCTGGTGCATATCATGTAATCATCGAATAAACAACACCTAGAAATTGGTCATATAAACATGTAAATCATCAACAAAACATTGAAAAAAATAAAAAGTGTTTGTAGAATTTAAATGTCATTTAAAAAAACAAAATCTTCATAAGACAATTGAAATATATAATGGAGTTTTCTGGGTTTTTTTTGTTTTCTTATCACAAATATATAGACACATAAAATTCATCATATAGCAGTCTTGCATGTGTTCTTGTTAACAATTTCCATAAAAAAGTATGTATTTATTCTAGCATATCACATATTCAGGATAACTTCTAACATCGTCTGGAAGGCTTTCCAGAACACTAACAAATAGTAGACGAATCTGAATTACTTATAAGATTTGTTCTACAATGTCTACACTTAGATATTGTTCATATATATACATAATCATCGATAAACCATTAAATTAAAGAATAAAAACATGTTTATAATATTTAATGACACATGGAAAAAAGCTTCATAAGCTTCGTAAAATAGTTATTCATCTTTATATCATCAGCTCCTTTTATGGTTGTTTGTTTTTTGTGAAAGTCATACATGGACGTGACTACAATTTAGAATAACATTCAAAGGAAAGAACTGAAAAGCACCTTTATCATAAAGACTCTACAAAATTTGAGTTATTTTGAAGGGATAAATACATATTTAAGAAATTTATCATGAAACACCAAATAAGTCAAACTTGAGAGTTTCTCAGAGAAGCCTTGTCCCTGAATGTCTCAAACTTCCATAGTTAATAAGCTACTGATATATTTTTGCTCAAAATCTTCCTTGTTACAAAAGAAGGTAAAAGTAAGTGCCAAACAAGAAGTACTTCACAAATAGTATAAGCTTCCCATACTTTGCATAAACAGATTATTGCTCATGGAAATAAAAAAAATACACATGGCCAGTTAGAACCACAGCTCTAGAAAGTCAAGAAGAAATTGAATCACTTCATGTGTCTGACTCAAGAACAATACACCAAGACACAACTTCTAGATACATCACCATAAAGCTAATACCTGCAATTTAAAGAATTTACGTCAAGTAGCTTAACACTATCGCCAGTGGAAATCATGTTATAAGCATATCAGAGATCCAATCAGTTGGTGCTTGTTTCTCTAAAATTAATAAGATTCAATATATAGTTCTGCAAGTAAACGAATCACCAGAAAAGAGCAATGCAAACACACTAAACAACACAAAAACATCACCACATACTTCATTATCTAAGTAGCGAATTGTTCAAGAGTATTAGATGAACCTTTTATGATGTTTTTCTCTTAACGTTTGTTTAATCAAACAAAAAATGAATCTATAATTCTGCAAGCAAACACACAAACCTAGACATAAACAACCCATATACTTCATTTTCAAAGAATCTGATGGAACAAAATCAACAAAATAAGCAATAGAGAGTTATCACTAATAAGTGATTTAACCGATACAATCGAATTGAGCTTGTTCTCCAGCCTTCCTTTCTTATGTTCAACACGATGATCGACACTTTTACACCAAGCCGAATCCATCTTATACTTAACCAGATCTCTGAACAATTGTGTGTTTTCTCCCTTTTTGATCGCATTGTGAGCCATCCTCAAGGCTTCAAGCTGCAATGTCTGGTTTCCTCCGAAATGACTTGCGATGAAGAGTAAGCGATCTTCATTCATCCTTTGTAAAGCATCGAATGTTATAATAGGCCCCTGATTAGATTTTCTTCGCCTCCTATGTTAGTGCACATCTTCATCATCGATTCCCTCGCTTCTTCATCACACTCCATAAATTCGTCGAGATTTAGGGTTCTGCTCAAAAGTTGACAGTGGAATTGATAATGACAGAGATGAGAGATATTGCTGGACATGACAACGTCAGAGATGAGAGAGATCGCCGAAGATGTCAACGGCGTAGATGATTACGCTGAAAGAGATGGTGGCCTGGAACTAATCGATTCAACAATTTGTTTACTTTTTGTATGTAATAAGGGTAACATGGACATTGATCCCTTTTAATGAAACTTATTTTGTGACTTTGGGTTTTAAATGCTAATTTGGAAACAAAAACTTGGTTTAGTTTTATTTTGGGTTTTTTTCTCTTTACAAATTTTGGTTTTTTAGGTTATTGTATAAAATTCGAAACAAAAAAATTCTTCTAAAACATCACGTGCTTAAAAAAACAGGAGTATACTGTTATTTTTAATTAGTTTGAGAATGGGGTGCTTTATAAGAAACGGAAGTGGAGATGCGTTTTTCTTCTCTAAAAATTTTCTTGCATCATTTTCCCAAATGATCAAAATCACATGGTTTTAAACTCAAACTTTGATGGAATTTCTTCAATTTTTTAAAATTAAATTTTTTTATACAAAACTAAGGAGTGTTACATAAGTGAAATTTAATATAAAACTCTAGCATTATAAACATATACCTATCAAATTTGAAGTTACAAGGTCCAAAAAATGAGTAAATTTGACTTTGCAACAACTACGCAATAACTATGAGTTTCTAAATAAATGCTATGAGTCTATGACCCAATCCAATAAATACATTGATAGCATTGACTTGACTATTATCACACGCTTCTATATAGTTTCATGAACTCGTAAATCTATATAACTTATCCAATCAAAGCTACGTTTCCCTGAAAAAATTTCATACAACAAAAAGAAACGAACCATAGGCAAAGAGAAGTATGAGTTTGGTTTGGTCTCTGTCCAGTGTCTATAGATAATATGGTTTGGTCTCGGTTAAGTCAAATGTGAAATAACTCCGTTCTCTCTGTTTACTTTTCTACGTAGCCGATTTATTGATTTATTTGTTTCGCCTTTTCAGTTTCTTGTTGATAAAAGAACTCTGTAATCTGCATAAAGCAGAATCTTACATTTTCTGTCCATCTACTTGTGTTACCATAGATAGAAAAGTTTCAGTCTGTTACTCAACTCTTTTCTTTCACTCGTTTTCACATTTCTTTGTGTTCATACACATCTACTCTTCCCCTTATTGTGACTCATCTACTGTATTCCAAAACCCATGGTTTCCTTTTTTTTTCCCTCGTATAAGTAACTTCACTATTTCATTCATAGTATCTGACTTTTCTTTACAAAGTATATAAGAGTTTTACTAAGTTTACACAGTAAA